TTTTTTTTTTTTTTTCAACTATAGTTGCCACTGTTGTCAGAACAGATAAGTTGTTAAATTAGCTCATTTTTTTGTGCTTATGCAAAAACAGCAATTTTTGAGCTTTTTATTACAGTTGTTATTACTTTATCTTTACCTGTTACTTTGGCAACTATAGTTTTGCTTGTTATCATTGTTCTAAGTTGTCAATTTTATACTAAAATCACCAGGCAATGATGGCATTACAGGCATCATCAGATTATCAGAAGTGTCTCTTTTATTGAAAGGAAAAAAAACTCTTATTGAATTATGCAACTTGGCACCAAATATTTTTGCTCATTGCTAAAGCATTTTTGCAGTTTCAACTTCATTGGTAATATATTTTTTTAAACCTTCTTTTTTTTTTTTACTATTTATATATTCTTTAACAAAAAGAAAAAGTAGTTACAAAAAAAAAAAAAAAGAGACTTTTTTTGATCAGGTGACAACCAAAACATCTAACAAAAATGCTTAGTGGAAAGGAAATTTTAAAGAAAAGAAAAACTATGGCGTAAAATTCTCTTTATTCATCTATACATTTGCCTTTTTTCTCTCTCTCTCATTTTTTTTTTTTTTTTGCTTGTCATGTTTTTGTGCTATTTGAAAAAAGAAAAATAAAGGAGAAAAGAAATTTTGTTCTAAAAAAATAGTTAGTTTACAGATGGTAAGAAACAAAAATTTTTTGCTTTTTTACCAACCGTGGCAAACAGTAGGAAAAGCAAAAAAAAGCAAAAGAATGAACAACAATAACGGTCTGTCTGAAGTCAGCCCAACAAAGTTTCTATTGCAGTTGAATTTGTTGAAACATCAATAACAGATTGTAAGCAATTCAAAAAGTTACCAATTTTTGGTCTCCAAACACCTGTAGCATAGTCACTGTATATAAATTGATAATTTTTATTAAATATAATTTCTAGTTGCCTAATTCTTAAATTTAAAAAAAAAAACTCTTATCAAAAAACGGCGGCCAAATAAATATTGAAATCAATTTGTCTAAAATTATTTTAGTCAGATACGTTATGTAAATTGTATCAATTATTGTTTTTTGAGTATAAAATATATCCTTTTTGATATTTTCACCAGCTTTGTCTTTCTTTGATAAACAAATTGAAAATTTTAGTCGAAATTAGCGTCATACTATGTTACTTGAAAGCAATAAGTCCAATTACCCATTCACAGCAAAAAAAACGATCATATGGTATTTGTCACAAGTTTGTACAGCAAATGTTAGATGAAGAAGTGTATATGACAGAACAAAACTTCTACAACAAATTTTGTACATATTAGCCACCTTATAAGTTTTTTTTTTTTTTGTCTTGAGCGGTTTAGTTTGATCCAAAAACCTAAAAGATCAAAAATTTTAAGAAAAAAATTTTTCAGTAAAAGTATGGTTTTAAAGCAGTTGCGTAAGATGATAAAGCATACGAAGTGACAGCTGTTTAGAGAAATAAAAAAAATCTGGGGAAAACAACATAAAAGAATACTGGTAAAACCAGAAGAAAGATTAATGTAGTAGATAAGTGCTTTCAGGATTATTTGAAATCATGTAAAAAAAAAAAAAATTAACGATAATGAAAATTTTGATAATGGAAGAGCGAAAAGTCTTAAAATTGAAATACAAAGTTAATGAACAGTGAAGAGAACTGGAAAAGGAAACGAAATATTAAGGTGAAGACTCTGATAGCTCTAGTAAAAAAGTGGCTTTAAAAAGTTAAGCTATATCAAAAGTAATTTAGAAGCTACAGTTTTTTTTTTTTTTTGAAAAATAGGTGGAAACAGCCCAAAAGTTAAAAGAAAATTTTGGATTAGATGCAAATATATCTGCATTTAGACACTGAAGAAGATAAAATGACTAATTTATTTTAAATAGCTAAAGACTTCCAAGAAAAGTTGAAGTTACCATAAATTGAGTTTTCTAAATTTGATGGTATTCTATGCAACAAAATAAAGTATCTGTTGAAATGCTTGTACGATTTGTATAAGCGACAAGTTGCCTCTATTAAATAGTTCTCATTATTTAACTTTGTTGTCAGAATGTAATGTTAATTTAGCTGTCAAGTATTAATTCAGAAGAAGTGTTTTAAGAGAAGATTGAAGAGGAAGTTCAGTGTTAAAGATCTATATCGTCATCCAGTGTACCAAATTCTGCGAGGTCGTATTGATAGCTAGAGAAGACATGAGCAGCATGAAAACAACCACAGAGAGAATAAAAAGATTGTTGGGAAAAGTATAAAGCTTTGAAAGAGTTGTTGGTCCAAGTGTGGTACTATTAATACTGTAGAAAAATTAGTAACCAAAAATCTTTAAAAAGCTGAAAAGTCTAAGTTGGAAGTATAAGAGAGTAGAAACGCGGAAAGGTATTGGTAGCTTGGCATTATATAACTGAAACAAGACGAAACGCCGGATATGATTGAAGCAAGGAGGCATTATGAAACTATAAAAGATGATTTTATGAAATTAAATAGGAACTGTTTTGCAAAAAAGCTGTTACAAATTTG